GTCTCGACCCGAGACGTCAGCTTTCTTGCTCCTCTGATGCTGCTTGGCCTGCTGTGTTCATCCAGCTCTGCACCTTGTTATCTCAGATTCTCCAGCATTGGCAGTTCCTACTTTCCCTGAATATTAGCCTGGGTCACTGGATTATTCATCCAGTAACAATATCACTGTGCTGCCACCACCACCACCTCCTTATCTCTAGTTCCATCATTTAAATCCCATTATAAACATAAAATTGTAGGATAAGGGAAGGCCATTTGGCTCATTGTGACCAGACAAACTCATCGAGAAGTTCTTTCGGTTAGTCCATTACATTCTCCTTATGGAAATGCTGCCTATATTTAGGTGGGAGTAGGGGTTTTTTCTGCCATTATTTTTAATGGCAAATCCCAAAAATTGTGATAGGTTGAGAGGTAATTGATGGAATGCTTTTGTGACTGCTTTTCCTTCCTTCCTTGTCTGCTGGAGTTACACCAGACAGCTGGATGTGTGTCCACAGAAAAATTTCTGTACATACATAGCATGCCATTTTCACTGGTTGAGATAGCACACTCCGCATCATCTTATGGATTATAAGTTCCAGCTGTCACGTTTGGTTACAGGGCAAAACTTTCTTAAAGAGAAAGATCAGACATTAATGCTAGCTGCTTCAGAGTTACAGGCTGAAAATTACAAGTACTGGTACAGTCTTTTCCTATCTAGAAAGCCATCTAGCCAAACAGCAATTAAACTCTAAATGACCTAAACCTCTGTTTATTTAACAACAACTGTCTTTGTTTCTTAAAGGGACACGGTCATAAAATAGTGCATTGTGTATTGCGTGCGATAACATTCCTGTCTTTATATCTTTTACATTCATTCAACTTCCAAAAAAACAAGGCATTTCTGTAATTAGAGTCTTAAGTTGCTTTATGCACTTTCTTGCTATCATTAGAAGAAAGAACTGGCTTTGAACAAAGATTAACTGTGTTATTGAACCAAATGTCTTTGGCCTTTCTGGCTCCCTGCCACCATAACTCTGGGAATGAAGTGGAAGGGCTGCAAACTGGAGCAAGACTTTGGTGACGCTACAGTGTGACCCTCACTCACCAATGGCTGAAGCTTTTACTCATCCAAAACAAGATCATTGATGTCAAAAGCATCAGGGCCAGGTCATAGGAATGTGAATGCCTGTGAGTCCCCTTATCCTTGTTCTCTCCTTGGGGACCACTAAACTTGAAGAAAGTATGATCTGGAGGTGCCGCTCTTGGGCTGGAGTAGACAAAGTCAGAAGTCACATGAGATCAGGTTATAGTCCAACAGGTTTATTTGAAATCACAAGCTTTCGGAGTGTAGCCCCTTCATCAGGTGAAGTGAGAGAGAAGCACACACAGAATTTATGGGCAGAGAGATCAAAGGCAGAGAGATCAAAAGATCATACAAATGGTGTGAGTGGAGTGTCGAATAATAAGTCTCTGCAGATGATCAAAGGTGTTAAACAGTGTGAGTCAAGTGTCAACAGCTGAATAACAAGCGAAGGGATGACCTATGATCCTATTAAATGAGGCAGAGAGACAATTACAAAAAATTAAAAATAAGTTGGCGCTGGAGACAAACCAAATGACTGGAATAACATCTTCAATATAAGAGTCACATGCTGAGGATCTAACCAAAGTAATAAGTAATCCAAAACTGTGCAAACTAATTAAAGTAGAGAGATGATAACAATTTATCAAGGTGATGCTGTCAAAACAGGACAGTAAGGAAGATTTTACAGATACAGAATAGTGTGGTGGGGTCACAAGTAGTGTGACATGAACCCAAGATCACGGTTGGAAGCAGAATGTCCTTGATCGCTGAAGTATTCCCTGACTTGGAGGGAACATTCCTGTCTGGCAATTTGTTACATGGTGTCCATTCGTCTGTTGCTGTAGCATCTGCATGGTCTCACCAATACATCCTTCCCTGCAGTGTATGTGATAGACACCACTGCACCATGTTGTTCGCAGCCTTCAACACATTATCAATGATGACGAGCATCTCACCAAAATCAATCCTACGTCTCCACTTCTCACCTTCAAATAACGGCCAAACCTTAAACAGACCATCGTTTGCAACAAACTACCCAGTCTTCAGGATAACATCAACCACAACATCACACAACGCTGCCATGGTAACCTCTGCAAGACATGTCAGATCAATGACATGGACACTAACATCACACATGGGAACACCACCCACCACATACATGGCAGATACTCGTGTAACTCGGCCAATGTTGTCTATCTCATCCGCTGCAGGCAAGCATGCCCTAAGGCATGGTATATTGGCGAAACTATGCAGGCGCTTTGACAACGGATGAATGGACACCGCACAACAATCGCCAGACAGGAATTTTCCCTCGCAGTGGGGGAACACTTCAATGGTCAAGGACATTCCACCTCTGATCTTCAAGGTGGCCTTCAAGATACATAACAACACAGAATCGCTGAGCAGAGACAGATAGCCAAGTTCCACACCCATGAAGAAGGCCTCAACCACGACCTTGGGTCATGTTGTGCTACATGTGACCCCATCATACTGTTCTGTATCTGTAAAATCTTCCTTACTGTCCTGTTTTGACACCATCACCTCGAAAAATAGTTACGATCTCTCTACCTTAATTTGTTTGTATAGTTTTGGATTATTTATTACTTTGGTTAGACCCTCGGTATGTGACTCTTATACTGATCATGCCATTCCAGTCATTTGGTTTGTCTCTAGCACCACCTTATTTTTAATTTTTTGTAATTATCTCTCTGCCTTATTTAGTTAGTTTATACGTCATCCCGTTGCTTGTTGTTCAGTTGTTGACATTTCACTCACACCGTCTAACACTTTTGATCACCTGCAGAACTTATTATTTGACACTCTACCCACACCATTTGTATGGTCTTTTGATTTCTCTGCCCTTGACCTCTCTGCCCATAAATTCTGTGTGTGCTTCTCTCTCACTTCACTTGACGAAGGGTCCATGCTCCAAAAGCTTGTGATTTCAAATAAGTCTGTTGGACTATAACCTGATGTTGTGTGACTTCTGACGTTGAAAGTAGGAGGATAGGCCTGAGGATTGGGAGTAATGGAGCACCCTCAGCAGTTCAGAATTATGCCCTAAACACCTGAGGGGAAAGGTAGTAATTTTGCTCACTTGTTACCAAAGGGATCTGCTGGGGTTAACATTCCCTTCAGGCAATCGCTGTTTTCGCACAATTTGTGATTTCTCCACTGTGTGGTATGCATCCATACTTCTCCACTAATTCTCCAGAGGCACAGCAATAATTTGCATGGAAAGGGGACTTTCTCAATCCACAGATTCTGGCAGGCTGAGTGACCAAGACACTTAAAGACAGCCGTATAAATGCTGAGGTTGGGTCCGCACGTTTCAGAGACATTAATGATTTTCATTGCTCTGCAGATCATTCCTGTCAGCCTGACCTTTGCAAAAATGGAGGTACGTGCCTGGCTGGTGTCTCTACAGATCCCTACTACTGCATCTGTGTGGACGGATTTACCGGGAAAGACTGCAGTGAGGTAGAGCAAGGTAAGAACCCCAAGGAGGACCTTGACTAGCATGACTGATGCTAAGGTTTGAGCTGTTTATTCTCTTGCCTCATGTGTCTGCATGATTGTTATCTATCCTTTTCCACTTTGTTGGTTTAACAATTTTATGGTTCTACAGCTTTACACAGAAGGAAAGCAAGCAAAATTGAACTGAAATTCAAGAACTAATTGACTACAAATGAATGACAAATGTAGCAACAGAAGATGATGCCCATTGTGCCAAACTTGGCCCCATTCCCAATGGCTTCTCCTTGAGTGGAATGTACTAGAGAAAGAACACATTCAACTGCCATCAATATCTCATTGAGTAGTGAGGCTACACATGCAGCTGTTCATTAAGGATCTCCGATAGTAAAACCATCTGTCAGTTCTCTTAAATGTTCATTATATAAACTGCTGCTGTGTTGCTATTCAGATCAGGAAGACAGAAAGACTTGCATCTATATGGTGCCTTTCACAATCTCTGGATGTCCCAAAGCACTGTCAAGTTAATTAAATACTTGTTGAGGTATCATCGCTGTGGAACATTTATGTTACTGCACGCTCGTCATGGCACTGAAACAAATGTGATTCCGGGTTCAAAGGCTATCCTTGTCACAATTGTGCATTGCCTGTCAGTAAAACATTATTTCTCCCTCCCACTGTTGAATGTTGTCAGGTTACACCTAAACCTTCCAGCGATGTCCTTTTCAGCCAAGGTTAAAATGCAAGAGAAAAGTCATTAAAAATAAAATAGATACATTTCTATAGCATCTTTTATGACTTCAGGAGGTATCAAGATCTTTTGCAGCTAACAAAGTACTATCAAAGTATAGTCACTGTTGAAATGCCACAATCCATTTATGCACAGCAAGCTTCCCCCAACCAGCATCATGATAATGACTAGATAATCTCCTTGTAGTTTTTGGTTTGAGAGATAAATGTTGGCCAAGATTCCAGAAAGAACATCCCTTCGCCCTAGTGCTAGGACTCCTCTTAGGTTCTTCTCCAAAATAAAATATTGGTGGACACTTTTTGAGGAGCAACTGAGAATCCGCTCTAATGAGAGGAGTTTAGAAATGGAATCATTTTATTATATAACATCTGAGTTAGGTCCATGATGAATCTGCTCTGCAAGTCTATTAATGTGTGCTGAAATAGGCGTGGCTTATGTAATGGCAGAAAACACAGTTTCAGTGTGACAGATGAGGACAGGAAAGCTAAATGTTTTGCACTTTATACAGGAATTGGTTAGATGATGCGATGGGAGATAATAAGTCTTTGATTCTGGATGGTTGGGTTAAACTGTGTCCTAGAAACGGTTCTTATTAGTACTTTCTTGTGGCTTGAGGCAAGAATTTTGCACAAGTATATAAACACTTATATTCTGATTTTTATGTCAAAGGAGTCTATTTTGTTTATATAACTAAGTGCCATCCTCATTTCAGTTATACTCTTGAAGTTGTTAATTCAATGTTTGGATCGGCAGAACTTGGGGCTATCATTAATTAGGACAATCTGGAACTGAGTAAGGGTAGTTATGTGACCTCCTTCTTGTGCTGTTAAACGCTATGATCTGTGAAAGGAAGAAATAACACATCTTTTCCCGTGCCCAAGACATCTCAAATTACATCACAATAAAAACATTAAGAAGGTTGAAGTGCTATTTGGCTGATTGTCACTCAGCAAATCTCTTGGATTGTAAGTGGCCAGTGAATCTCTGTTGCTCATGTTGTGTTAGGTGAGAGAGCAATGTTGATCAGTACACTACTAGAACACCCTGATCTTCTTACATAGAGTCATATGGATCCATTGCCATGTATCCCTGTGACTGTCCGCATCTTTAGGAAGGGAGAACAAACCATATAAGTGAAATGCTCAGTCCAATCTCATTGAAATGAATCTAATTCTGACAGGGCTGGACAGGCTAGATGCAGGAGTCATGTCTCCCTTGGCATGGGGTTCCAAGTCAAAGGGTCATTGTCTCAGGATACGTGGTAGACCATTTTGGCCTGAGATAAGGAGATGTAAGCTGGCAATGTTCAACAGTAGGAGGGAGAAACAACGTTTCACCCTTAGGCAATGTACAATTATGGCAGGAATAGGCACTGACTTGGTGAACCTGTGGAATTCTCTGTAATAAGAGGCAGTGGAGGAGATGTCACTGAACATATTTAAGAAAGAAAGAAATTTCTAGAGCTAAAGGTGTTTGGGGAGAGGGCAGGAGTGTGGCATTGAGATAGAGGATCAGCCATGATTATGTTAAATGATGCAGCAGACTTGATGGGCCAAATGGTCTACTTAAAAGAACACAGAACATAGAACAGTACAGCACAGTACAGGGCCTCCGGCCCATGATGTTGTGCCCAATTTTGCTCCATTTTTTTTCTATTTCCAGAAAGTGTTGAACCAGTCACCAAGATGAACTTGTAATAATTTTAGTCAGCATTTTCTTTGATATTAGCTTAGTAGTTCCCACCTTTTCTTTTTATTTTTCCCCTTCTGTCTTTGAGAAAAACATTAGGAGTCTGAGGAACTACATTGAGGATTCAATCACAAAGGAGTGCTCTGAGCTTGAGCACTTCAACAAAGTCATTGCTTTTTACTTTTGAACATAGCTGTACCCAGGAAGTTCCTTCACATCACTTCCGGTGGTCCATGAAGTAATTGTGCAACCATGTTTCTTTTCCCTCCTTCCTAGTGTATCCTTATGCATTTTAATAAAATTTATTGATGCAATCAAAACAGGAAGTGGTGCAGAGAAACGTACGGGGTACACGCTGGAAGACATAAGGTATAACGATGTCACTAGATACACCAAAGCCTCAGGTAAGCTGCCTGGGATTTCTGACAACAGAAATGATGCTGTTGGACAGAAATTCAAAGCTTGACCATGCTTCAGGTCACAGATCTTCAAGAGTCTTGTGCGGGGTACAAAGCCATTCTCAAACTCTCGTAGACGATGCCAGACCTCTCTTCTCTTTTCTTTTAGTCTGTCTCAATGATATGTTTGGCGATTTTTGTAGTTGCTGCTTTGTGCGTGTGTGTGCACCGACCGCTTAGGCTGCTGCACTCCCTTCCTATTCTCTGACCTGTGTTTGAATGCTAGCTGCCAGCGTGGCGATACAGGCGATTGCTAGGCACGCTTCACAAAGTGGCTCTGATTCCTGCCTCCTTGCCCTTCAACACTGTGAGTGAAATGCATCCCAGGGAAATGTTTCAGCTCTGGGGCTGACTGGTTGGAAATGAGCTTTCTGTTCCTTTTTTTTGCCTGCATTATGTGAGTACAGTGCTTTCCATGATGAAGCAAAGAGCTGGGCATACTGCAGCCTGAGAGTCTCTAGCCTTGAACCTGCATTGTTAACATGACAATCACTTGCTATCACTGGCAGATGCTTGCACCCTGGCAAATCCTTGTCTGCTTGTCTCTAAGTTGCTACTTTGTTTTGAGAGACCATACCTGTTCTGGAAATATGTTACTGTTATATGGTCGCTAAGAAAGGAATGTCTTTGTCTTGTGATCCTCAAATTATACTGTTTTGTTCTTCCTTCCCTGACCTGCTGTATAGTCTTTAAGAGCATCCTTTAGGTGTGACCCTTCTACTCTATACACATCAGTTGAGGCCAATTGTATTTCTATTCATTGTCCATAGACCCGTTTCTCGGTTGATGGTGATCAATTATCACCCCTCCTAACTGGTCTAAAGTGCTGCTTTTAGGACAGGCAAGCCCCATGAAGGAAATCACCACAGGTTCCTTGCTATGAAGGCCTGAGCCATTTTAACTTAGTTCATCTCTGACCCCTGGACAAAATTGGCAGGAGTACTGGCATGACTGGAGGGTGGGTGGCAGGACTCTGTGTCAGAGAGTTGAGGCAAATGCTCCCAAAAAGGAAGCCACGCAGAACTGGGAGTGGGGAGGATGTGAGATTGGGTTAGGGGGTTTGGTTAAACTGATTGCAGGGTGGGAGATCACAGATTGATAACCTCGGTCAATGGAAATACAAGCTTTCTGTTTTAGAACAAGATGGATAATCCCAGTCTCACAGAAATCTGACCAAGCGAGTTTAAAACCAGAGACTTGTGTGTGAATCTTGCATTTTTATTATAAAGAGATTCAACACTTGATATTTATGAAGCCCTGCTTCATTGATTTTTTTTTTTCCTGTATTCATTCACGGGATGAAGGCATTGCTAGCTAGGCTGCATTTATTGCTCATCCCTAATTGCCCAGCGGGCAGTTAAGAGTCAACCACATTGCTGTGGGTCTGGAGTCACATGTAGGCCAGGCCAGCTAAGGGTGACAGTTTTTTCCCTAAAGGGCATTACTGAACCAGATGGATTTTTCCTGACAATTGACAATGGATTCATGGTCATCATTAGACTCTTAACTCCAGATATTTATTGAATTCAAATTCCACCATCTGCCATGGTGGGATTCGAACCCGGGTCCCCAGAACACTATCTGGGTCTCTGGATTAACAGTCCAGTGATAATACCACAAGGCCATCGCCTACCCCATGGGAGGATTAGTGCTATCTTCTGTAGGGTCTTGAAGTCACAGCTAGACAGGGTAGTGAAGAAATCATTTGCTACACTTGCTTTTATTGGTCAATGCATTGAGTATAGGAGTTGGAATGTCATGTTGTACAGGATATTGGTTAGGCCACTTTTGGAACACTGTTCAATTCTGGCCTCCCTGCTATTGGTAAGATGTTAAACTTGAAAGGGTAAGGAAAGATTTACAGGGATGTTGCCGGAGTTGGAGGGTTTGAGCAATAGGCTGAATAGGCTGGGGCTATTTTCCCTGGAGTGCAGAAGGCTGAGGGGTGACCTTGTAGAGATTTATAAAATCATGAGGGGCACGGATAGGGTAAATAGCCAAAGTCTTTTCCCCAGGTAGGGGAGTTCAAAACTAGAGGGCATTGATTTAAGGTGAGAGGGGAAGAGATATAAAAGGGACCTAAGGAGCAACTTTTTCATGCAGAGGGTGGTGTGTGCATGGAATGAGCTGCCAGAGGAAGTGGTGGAGGTGGGTACAATTACACATTTAAAAGGCATCTGGATGGGTACATGCATAGGAAGGTTTAGAGGGATATGGGCCAAATGCTGGCAAATGGGACTAGATTAATTCAGAATATCTGGTTGGCACAGATGAGTTGGACTGAAGGGTCTGTTTCCGTGCTATACAGCTCTTTGACTCTAATAGCCTGAAGTTAACATTACCAGGGATGTGATACCATTGTGTGTACCATCTGGTTGTTATTTTAACCCTCAGTTCAGAGTGCCCATGTGGGTTAAAACCATCACTATCGCCAATCCCTATCACCATCCAGCTCTGGTTTGTTACCTTTACACAGACCTGGGGAGGAGCGAATGACCTTCCTGGTTTGGACAAGTCACTGGGTTATGTGTAGAGCCATCAAAGAATTGAGGGAGCAAATCTGTTGGCTGGGAGATTCCTCTGAGCTGTTCATGTCAAATCCAGCCTTGCCTTACTAACCTGTAACTAGGATCACAGCAGTAATATATTAGAGCACGCACGCACATGCACACACAGCCAAGACTTGTGTTTTGCCACTGGCACACATCACTGAAATGGAATGGAGCTTTGCGTAAAGTAATTGATCAAAATGGTTTCTTCTTTTTATATTTCTGTTTCTATTTAAGTTTGGAATGCAGTTCTGAAGAACAGCAGCTCTGACAAACCTTCCATCTGTTGTTTGGAAACTTGGTAGAAACACCGAATATCCATTTATGTATCTATTTTCAGTGTAGTGAACCATTCCCAGGCATTTTACAGGACTGCTATCCATCAGAACTTAGAGGTTTTAGGCAGGTGACTAAAACTGGGCAGCAACTATGTTTTGAGGAGTATCTCATTGGGAGAAAAGACTAGAGAAGTGGAAAAGTTTAAGGAGCGAATTCCAGAACTGATGTTACAGGCTAAACATAACGCATGTCCAGTTGAGGGGCTTGTGACGAGGCAAATCTGGAAAACATTTTGTTTGGTGACACAGTAACCAAGAAGGATCATGACCAAATGAACAAAGGTTTTCAACAGGGCTGTTAGGACATGCCTAACCCAACATGGTGATGGGAGTGGGATCTGTAATAGCACTAAAGAGAAGAGGATACTGTAACTATTTTAAGAAGCCTAATTTAAGAGGGTGTAGGGAGAGGCAAGTGGGACGATGGTGTTTGAATGACCTTTGTCTTGTCAGTTGCTACCACAGTATCAGAACAGGCTGTTAGATTTTGGCACTTGTCTATTCCTGCCCAACTTATCAATAGTTAGAATCCTGGTTGGATGGTTCCAATAGAGTTGAAGAAACCTGAAGTCTGCTTCTAGTGAAGCATCAAGATTGTCAACCAGCAATTGGCTTGATCCTACAACAAAGTGTTTGTGGTCTCGAACATTTTACTTCATCCTGCAGCCGGGTTGACAGAGTGCTAAACTCCAGGCGACCAATTTAAGCGGTAACTTTTCTCATACACCATTCCTTTGTTACATTGCAGGACCTTGTCACCCTAACCCCTGTCAGAATGGTGGCCTATGTGAGTTGATGTCACGTAGAGGAGACGTCTTTGGTGAATACGTCTGCAAGTGTCCGACTGGCTTCCAGGGCATTCATTGCCAAACAAGTAAGCAAAATGTTTTACAGGTTTTTGGGAATTATTATCTGTGAAGAATTCATGAATATTAAATTATTGGTATAGTGTGCGATGGCCCTTGGGATCCACAAAGTCAACCTCTAGTGTCAGAAAACAGACCCCGAATTGAATAGACTGTCCCTCATCTCCTCGTCAAAAGGGCAAATATATTATTTGCGAGGCAGTTGTGTAATCCTGGAGTTTGAGTTTTTGTTTTAACATCTTGTGCTCTGATCTGATGGTCTGTGATGAAATTTGAACCATCTTTAGAGATTAGTATCCTGAACTTTCAAAAGAGTCTACCCTTAACTGAGAGCCTTGCTGGGAGTGAATTTGAGTTACTGAATAGTTACTGAATTTTAGGGTTAAAAGCCTAAAACATGCCTTTTTTTTAGCAATTGTTCATGAGCTTGAAATTATTTCTTATGTTGTGTATTATTATTGATTATTCCTATAGGACTTCTAGAGCAAGGGACTCATTTGGTCTAAAGGGAAATAAATTGTGCATCCAACACTAAAAAATTTAGTTGCGTCAATTAAGTGGTCTACAGACTATCCATTATGTCTGCAAGTATGAAAGACCATTCCTGCAACTGAAGCCTGAGTGTGTTAGTGTCGACCCTGGGACTAGGTCAGAGTGATTAATGTGTCTCCTGACAGCCCCCATGATATCAGTCGCTAACCAGCAAGTAATTCACCAAAGTGAGAAGCCACTATCGCTTAGAGCTTGGATCTCATCCCAGAATAGTTTTAGTGAAGAACCAGCCAACTGACTTGTTTCAAAAAGATATAAAGGGGAGATTCTTCTCAAGCGCTATTTCTAAAATTTTCAATCACATTACAATTTCTCATGGTGAGCCTAATGCTGGAACAAGTATATTGCCAATACCTAGTTTTATTTCAACCACAAATTTATAGAGTTATCAAATAAATCAGCTCAGAAGGAGATTATTTGGCCCATTTTGTCTGTCGAGATTTAGGAAGTGCTATTAAAATAGGCTTGTATTTTGCTTTGGTAAATCCACTATTGCTGTGGTGTGTGGGTAGTGAAGGGAATGGATCTTTAAGATGGTCAAAGATGTAAGTTGCTGATTTAATTGTTCAATTCGTACATGCTTTATAACTATTAATGTGTGGTTCATTCACCCAAACTGTGTTGGGACCAATATTGCAGAACACCATAACTGGATCTGTAACTGGAGTTGGCAAACACAAGCCCAACATGACTTGAACTTCAATGGGGATGGAGTGGACCATGTGAAACCTTGCTTTATATATTAAATCATCCAACTCCTGCCACTCTTGTCAATGGGAAAGGCATTTTCTGTGTCAAGGTCTTAACAGAAATTGATTTTTATATGGCGTCTTTCACAACATCAAGATGCCCTGAAAATTTGACAGCCAATGAAATACATTTTGAAGTGAATTCCATATTGCAGTGCAGGAAGCATGGAAGCCAGTGGTGTGGTGGGATTTTCTATAGCCAGGTGAGCGGGGATTGATACCTCATTGATACATCCAATATTGCAGCACTCCCTCAGTACTGCACTGGAGAGTTGGATTAGGTTTGTGAGCAAGGGCTAAAATTTGCTGGCTACGTGTGGTGGGAATGGAAGCAGTGGTGGGCTTGGTATGCTACTTGGGTCTGCAATGAGACCACTCCGCATTGGTGTTGCACTGCCGAAGAAGTTTCTTGGTTAGGAGTCTGCTTGTGGTAAATTTGCTGATTTGAGTCCCACTGCTGGTAAGTACCAGTTTTCGTTCCCTCTGAGTGGATGACATTGGATCCCAAAGCCATGATAAAATTCACCCAGGTCACTGAAGTGAGATTTGAATACAGTGTCTTCGCCATTCAGAGATGAGTGTGCTTCAAATTAAACCACAACCGAGACATTTGTGCAGTCTTGTGTAGAGAGTCACTGTGCAACCTCTGGGCTTTCAGTTTTCATGACAAAAGTTATGTTTATTTAGTCACTGCAGTCAGGGCTCTCTGTGTAGCCAACTCAACTAGAAGGATCTGAAGTAATCCAGCTCATCAATTCTAGCTGAGATAGTAGGAACTGCAGATGCTGGAGAATCCGAGACAACAAGGTGCAGGGCTGGATGAACACAGCAGGCCAAGCAGCATCATAGGAGCAGAGAGGCTGACGTTTCGGGCCTAGACCCTTCATCAGAAAAGGGGGAGGGGAAGGGGGTTCCAAAATAAATAGGGAGAGAGTGGGAGGCGGATAGAAGATGGATAGAGGAGAGGATAGGTGGAGAGGAAACAAACAGGACTCCCTACCTACACTCACCTTTTACTGGCTCCATCCCCGCCTCTTCGACCTGTTTGTTTTCTCTCCACCTATCCTCTCCTCTATCCCTCTTCTATCCGCCTCCCACTCTCTCCCTATTTATTTCGGAACCCCCTTCCCCTCCCCCTTTTCTGATGAAGGGTCTAGGCCCGAAACGTCAGCCTCTCTGCTCCTATGAAGCTGCTTGGCCTGCTGTGTTCATCTCATCAATTCTAGCTGATGGGCAGCTGATAACGTATAATGCAACCTGAGGGGGTTGAGAAAGAGCTTTCTTTGACATTAGGAAGTGACCCCTTGCAGCTAATATGCATTGTATTGTACACAACCATCTTGGTCAGAGGGTGAAGTAGGAAAAGAATTTGTGGTTTGACCTCAGGGAGCGAGCTTGAAATACAATGCAGATTTTTGAGATGAAAAGACTTCTCTGTCACTTGTTAATGTCTGATTTTTAAATTAAGTTTTTGGGGCTAGAGGAGGTGCTGATGTGTATGAGACCACAACTCTCAACTTCTTCAATTGCTCTTACATCAGCAATCTCCGTGAGGCTAAAGGATGGCTTGTATAAGAAATGAGAAAATGTTGCTCTTACACAGCAGAGGCCAGTCCGAATTTGGGGTTGAGTCATATCGTTTTGGAAATGTAGGGGAAGCATCAAAATATTTCTTTCTTAGATCATTACAGACCTACAGTGCTTTGCAGAAAGGTATAGAGGAAACTTTATATCTGATCTGTGTTGTTCCCGGCATAAGCATGTACTGATGGATGCAGTGCTGTTGGAGTGTTGTTTCATGAAAGAACTGAGCTGAAGATCATAAGTTGATAGGAGCAGGTGTAGACCATTCAGCCTATCAATCCTAGATAGCAAAGTATAGAGCTGGATGAACACAGCAGGCCAAGCAGCATCAGAGG